ATTTCCTGCAGGTTTGCACTATAGGAAATGTTAAAAGAAGTCCTTCAGGTGGAAGGACTATGATACCAAACAGAGACTTGAATCTACACACACAAAAATGAGGGTTTCCAGAAGTGAAAATAAATACAAAAGGCATCGTTTTGTTATTTTTTCAGTACTCTGAAAGGCACCGAGCTTCTGAAGCAAGCACCGGCGTGCTGTGCGCGAGAAGGGGCGCCTGGTGCGGGAGCGCGAAACGGGGCGCGGGGGCGGCGCCCCGAGAGGCGCTGAGGCCTGAGGGCCGACTGCGATTCAAGACGTGTATTGTAAGCAACCATTAAAAATTAGAGGCATAAATAGAAAGACCCAGGCTCAGGGGAACAGAGAGTAGAGTGCTGGTTACCAGCGGCTGTTGGTTAGGGAGATGGTGGTCAAAGGATACGAACTTACAGTTACAAGAGGAACAAAACCTGGGGGTCTGTGTGCCCCACGGCCTTTATGGCGGGTCGTGCTCCCTTATAGACTTGAAAGGCGCTAAGTGAATAGATCTTAAATGTTCTCACCACGAAAGAGGAAACGGTAACTCTGTGACAGGATGGAGGTAGGGGCGGATGCTCTGGTGGTCGTCAGTTTGCAATGAATAAATACCCAATCAACAGCTTAAACATACACGCGCCATGTGTCAGTCATGTCTCAACAGGAAGCGGGCGGGGCCGCCCACCCATGACCCACAGTCCAGACCCCGCCGTCCTCCTGAGCAGTTCTATCTGAGCAGCGGCCACCCACTTGTTTCCTTACCCTCTGAAGCTGTGGCCGGTGGGGCCAGGTGTGTGGGCACTGCAGCAGGGACCGTGTGGTCCACAAAATCCACAAGATTTCCTGTCTTGTCCTTTTCGCTAGGGGACAGGATGGCAACCGGGAGGCCAGTGGGGCCGGTGCTGTCACCGGGGGAGAAGTGACAGGAGCTCAGCCTCAAGCGGCTGTAACGAGGGGCAGGAATCAGGACATGTTTTGGAGAGAGAACCCACAGACACAGAGCATGGATGAGGGGGCAGTATTTACAGTTTCAGACAGTCCTTCTAGCAAGGGATGGATCCCGTCTTAAAAAGACAGACAAAAAACATAAAAGAGCAATTAAAAACTGACAAAACCCCAGATTACTTTTGCCTGATAGAAGCCAGAGCTGGCTGCCCCTGGCTCCAGGGAGCAGAATGGGGCGGCCACAGGAGGGGCAGAGGGCCCCCTCGCGGACTCGCTATCACGTTCTGAGTGGCATCAGCACTGGGCAGCGTCCGGCCGCTATCGACACCAGTTAGGGGTTGCAGTGCCAGTCTCCAAAGGCCGTAAGAGGCTTCTTGTGCTGGGCATTGTGGCGGGAAGCTCTGCAGCCAACACGCCCCCCTCTGCCAGCTGGCCGGGCTGCACGCCAGGCGGACACGCTCCTCGGAAGCCAGCATGCCGGCAGCCAGAGATGCAGCAGGTGGGCTCTGCGCTGGGCCCCTTGGGATCCACGTGCTGAAGCCTAACCCCAGAACCTCCTCGATGTTCCCTGTTTGGAGGCAGTCATACAAAGGTGACCAAGTTAAAACGAGGTCATGGGTTGGGCCTCATCTAACAACTGGTGTCCTTTAAAGAGAAATAATTTGGCACAGTGTGGCAGGATGTTTCTGCTTGATCTCCGTGACAGTCACAGCTCACAGTTCCAGGTTTATAATCCTTAAATACCGACAGTAACATTCATACCTACTTCTGTGTGTGCTTAAAGTCTCCCACAGTAAAAAAATTTTCAGGGAATTCCAGCCAAGATGGAGGCTTAGGTAGATATGCTTCTTTTCCTTGCACAACCAAAAGGATAACAACAAATTTTAAAATAAAAAGCAACCAGAACTGCCAGAAAATTGAACTGTATGGAAGTCTGACAACCAAGAAGTTAAAGAAGAAACATTCACTCAGACTGGGGAGGAGACGGGCAGCGGGGGCAGGGAGGACGCACAGCAAGGAGGCAGCTGGAGGACTGGTCGGTCTCACATTTGCATGTGGATAAACCGGGAAGAACAAGTGGGGAGAGAGACAGGACTTGCAACCCAGGGTTCCAGTGTGGCTAACCAAAGACCCAAAACCTCTGGCTGTAGAAGCCTGTGGGGGCTGTGGCAGCAGGAGAAACTCCCAGTCTCACAGGAGAGTCTGTTGGAGAGACCCACAGGGTCCTAGAATGTACACAAACCCTCCCACCCGGGAATCATCACCAGAAGGGCCCAATTTGCTTGTGGGTAGCGGGGGAAGTGACTGAGAGCCAGAGGAGAGCTGAGCAAGTGGCACTGTTCCCTCTCAGACCCCTCCCCCACACAGCGTCACAACTCAATGACCTGCGTTGCCCTGCCCTGGTGAACACCTAAGGCTCTGCAGCTTACAATGTTAACAGGTGCGCTGAAACAAATAAAGCCCAAATGAAAGAAAAGATCAAAACTCCAGAAAAAGAACTAAGCAACAAAGAGATAGACAACTTATTAGATGCAGAGTCCAAAACACTGGTAATCAGGATGCTCACAGAACTGATTGAGTTTGGTTGCAAAATGAAGGAAGAAATGAAGGCTATGCAAAGTGAAATAAAGGAAAATATACAGGGAACCAACAGTGAAGCGACTCAGATCAATGATTTGGAACAAAGGGAAGAAATAAACATCGAACTGGAACAGAATGAAAAAACAAAATTTTAAAAAATGAGGAGAGGCATAGGAACCTCTGGGACAACTTTAAATGTTCCAACATCTGAATCACAGGGGTGCCAGAAGGAGAAGAGGAAGAGCAAGAAATTGAAAACTTATTTGAAAAAGTAATGAAGGAGAATTTCCCCAATCTGGCCAAGGAAAGAGACTTCCAGGAGATCCAGGAAGCTCAGAGAGTCCCCAAGAAGTTGCATCCATGAAGAAACACTGCAAGACACACCATAATTAAGTTACCCAAGAGAAAAGATAAGAAGAGAATCTTAAAAGTAGCAAGAGAAAAGGAGACAGTTCTTTAGAAAGGAGTTTCCATAAGAGTATCAGCTGATTTCTCAAAAGAAACCCACAGGCAAAAAGAAGCTGGAAAGAAGTATTCAAAATCAATGAAAGGCAAGGACCTACATCCAAGATCACTCTACCCAGCAAAGCTATCATTTAGAATGGAAGGGCAGATAGAGTGCTTCCCAGACAAGGTAAAGTTAAAGGAGTTCATCATCACCAAGCCCTTATTATATGAAATGTGAAAGGGACTTATCTAAGAAAAAGAAGATCAAAAACTATGAACAGTAAAATGACAACACACTCACAACTATCAACAACTGAACCTAAAAAACAAAAACAAAAACAAACTAAGCAAACAACCAGAACAGGAACAGAACCATGGGTATAGAGATCATTTGGAGCATTATCAGTGTGGAGGGGGAAGGAGGAGAATGGGGGAAAAGGAACGGGGAATAAGAAGCACAAATAGTAGGTACAAAATAGGCAGGGGAGGCTAAGAATAGTATAGGAAATGGAGAAGCCAAAGAACTTATACGTGCCACCCATGGACATGACTAAGGGGCGGGGGAATGCTGAGGGGTGGACTGGTGTAGGGTGGAGGGGAATAGAGGGGAGAAAAAATGGGACACCTGTAATAGCATAATCAATGAAATATACTTTAAAAAAAAAAAAAGAACGAATTTGGACACGGACACATTGGGAGAAGACACAGGCCGAGGAGCGAGGCCTGGAACAGGTCCCCCCGCACGGTCCTCTGAGGGAGCCAGCTCTGCCGCCCTGATTTCCGACCTCGCACCTCCAGAGCTGGGAGGCAGTGAGAGTCTGTGGTTTAACTCGCCCGTGTGTGGTCCGCTGTTACAGCTGCCCTAGGAAGTGAAAGTGGCCTGTCAGCCATGGGCGTGAGCAGGCGGAGCCTCAGGTTCCCTGTCTACCCGCCTACAGAGCTCTGTGAGCCTTTGGTGCGTGTAGGTGTGCAAGGTAGTTTGGGGTGGATACTTTTAATTTACATAATCAAGTATTTATGTTACTGAGGAAATGCTTCTAAGAATAGTTACGTATTTTAAGATCTCAATGCTACTAAAATGTAGGTTTCAGTGCTAATAAAAATATAGATTAAAATATAGATAACATCTAAAATTGTGAATTCCTTAGTGTTATCAGCCAGAGTCCTTCGAATTTAGCATGAAATGAAAGTAGGTCTAGGAGAAAAGATGAGTTAAGGGAGAAAAAATATTAAGCAACGAATGATGCAGGTTGGTGGTAGATAGGCCCAAAGAGGGTCAACAAGTGAGAACACTCCAGGCCCCGCCGCCTGCCGCGTCCTGCCCGCCCCACGCCCCGCCGCACACTCACACACACGCTGTGCACACACAGACACGTCCTCAGCTCATGGGTGTGCACACACAGATGCGCATGTGCACACCGCGTTTCCAGTGCTTCCCACCCTTCCCAAGGCGGCACGGGGAGTTCTTCTGCAAAACTGGCCCAGCCACCACCCTCGCTCCTGCCAAAGCTGTGGGAGCGCGTGCTCTGCGCCCAGTGGGCAGTGAACCTGCAGGTCCCGGGAAGCCGGGCTGCCACCGCACTGCGGTGGAGTTGTGAGCCAGGGAGGCAGCTGGAGTGGTGGGGCCTTCCAGAACCATCCCCGGGGAAGACGGGACCAAAGCAAGTGGCAGGAAGGAGCCAGCGCCCTGGGAGGCTTTGCTCCCCCAGAGGGCTCTTGGAGACTTGAGTCCAGCAAGCACAGGTGACTTTTATTGCAGATGTGTTTAGATGATGGTGACCTACAGTGGGGACCAGGGGTGAGGACAGCAGAGGTCTCCTACCCTGGCGCCCCCAGCTCTTCTGTCCCCCTTTCTATGGCTCTCCCCCATCTCTGTCTTCCTCTCTCCCCCCATCTCTCCCTCACCAATCCCTCTCCGTTGCTGTCTGTCCTCTCCCTCTCTCTCTTTTTCTCTCTTTCTCCCTCCCTCCCTCTCTTTCCCTCCCTTCATGCCCCTTCTCCCCCCACCCCCTTCAGGCAGCCTGGCCCCCTTCCTGGGCAGGCCAACACATAGCCCCCAAGGTGCCCTCCAGGGACAAGGACACGGTGCAGGCCTTTCCAGCTACTGTGGGGTGGGGGTCCCCGCACCTCCCAGCGTCCGCGGGGCTGGGGGCGCCGGGCTGGGCGGTGCTCTCCTGGGTGGGCGCCCCGCACTTGGGCAGGCAGAAGCCGCAGGTCTGCACACCTTCCTGCAGCCCGTGCGCTGTGCTCCCAGCTTCCGTCCTGTGACCTGTGTGGGGAGGAAAGAGGGCCTTGGCCTTGGCCCCAACCCCCCGGGCCTGTATGCCAGGGCCAGCCCGCTGGGTGTTGGGGGAGTGAAATGCTCCCCGCAGACCGCCCCCCTGCGCCCCCAGCGCCCCCCTGTCCCTAGCCGCTGCAGCGCCTGTCCCTCCTGCTGGGGGCCTGGGCCCAAGCAGGCTTTCGGCCTTTGGCTGGCACTCTGTCCCCATACCCCCAGGAAGACCACCTCCCCGCTGTGTGGCCCTGCCTCCTGGGAGACCCTCCAGGCCCCTGCCCACCCCGTGGCCCTTGCGGGACTCCTGCTGCTCCTCAGGCGCCCCATCTCTCCTGGCCTTTCGTTGGAGCCCGATCTCGCCAACAGCGGCAGAAGCCTGCGGGGCCCCAGGCCTCTCCCGGGAAGAGCTCTCCATTGAGAAGCAGGGGCGGTGCCACACAGAGCGAAGCTGGCAGTGCGTCCCACACGCAGTGGGAGGGCAACCCCGCTTCGTGCTCACCTGCGGAGGACTTGGCCCAGGTCCGACACAGCCCCGCGGGGCTCGGGCGGGAGGGCTGGCCGCCCCTCCTCCTGAGGACGCAGGCCACGGCCAGCAGGAGGCAGCAGATGACGGCGCCCAGGCAGAGCCCCAGGCTGCTGTAGACCAGGGCCAGCTGGTCGGCGCTCAGCTTCAGCCCGGGGGCTGCTGCAAGACAGCGGTGAGGCCTGAGTTCGGGAGGGTCACTGCCCAGGGCCCTTCTCCGAAACATCCCCGCTTCAGACGGCCGCCCGACCCCACAGTCTTTCTTGCACCTCGGGCCCACACAGGGCTCCCACCACCTCCTGCTGGGGGGGGGGGGTCTGTCTGGCTGCGGGAGGTGAGACCCTGCCTCACTGGGAGGCCCGGCTGGCATGCTCTTGGGACCCTGATGGACACCGGCCATCTCTGCCCTGGGCTGACAGCAACTCCCTCCAGGAGCTCCGGGCAGGACCCCTGTCAAGCTGGCCCTCGGCCGCCTCCCCTTGCTGTGAGCATGCGGATGGGCCATGCCAGAGGCAGACTTGGACTGATGGGACCAATGAATGGACAGCAGCCTAGGGAGGGTGCCTTTGTCTGTCCTGGCCTGCGCCTTGCTCCAGGGAGAAGTGGGGAGCAGGCCCCTGGGAGTCAGCCAGGTGCAGCTGCGGTGAGCCCGGAAGGCAGGTATGGAGTGGAGAGTCCTGGGAAACGGGGCACTGGTCCCCCTGCCTCTTGGGCCGTGAGCTTCTGGTTTGGGTACCAGAGGAAGACTCAGTCCAGGGCCAAAGCCCTCCCCTTGAAGTTTCTCCCAAATTCAAACTTTTCCTGGGCCCTGGAATTGGGGGCCTCTTAGACCCCAGGGCAGAAGGGCAGATGCCTGGGTCAGCACGGTGTGCACGCAGCGTGTCCATTACGCAGCGCCTGCGGCCCTCACGGCGTTTGCACGGCTGCAGCGGCTCCCCTAACCCTCCTGCTCCTGGGGAGGGGATTGCTTAGCCACTTGCAGAAGCCGCAATATGGTCCAGGTGCCGTCGGTTCACCATTTAGCAGTGCCCACCTCAATGGCTTGCAGGACATTCGCGAGCTGGCACAGCCATCACTGCTACCTCCTTTGAGGACGTCTGCTCCGCCCCTCCCCCAGGACCCACTAGCAGCCACTTCCCACCCCCTCCCCGGGTCCTGGCAGTGACTGCTTGACTCTCTGTCCCCATGCATCTGCCTGTCCTGGACATTTCGTGTGCATGGAATCAGACCACAGGTGACCTGTGTGTCTGGCTTCTTTCACTTAGCATGTTTTCAAGGCTCATCCATGTACCGTGGGTCTGGACTTCATTGCTTTTTACGGTTGGCTAATGCTCCACTGTGTGGTCATACCACATTTTGTTTATACTTTCATTCCTTGAGGGACACCTGGGTGGTTTCCACCTTTTGTTATTACAAATAATGCTGCTATGGACATTTGTGCAAGTGTTTGTGTGGCTACATGTTTTCAAATTCCTTAGGTATATATGCTTCAGAGTAGAATTGCTAAGTACACTCTCAGTTTACCTTTTTGAGGAACTGCCAGACTCTTCCACAGTAGCCGCACCATTTCCCATTCCATTTCGCACAGGACAAACCAGTCTCAAAGCTACCCAGCTCCCACCGCCGCTGGGAGCGCGTGTGACAGACTGCAGGCCAGAGCTCCGGGCGGGCCTCACGGAGGCCGCGAGGCGGCTGCTGCCCTCTTCCCCCCGCAGCTCCTCAGAGCCAGCAGCTTCGTCAAGTAACGGCGCGGGCAGGCATTACTGTGCTGTTCACAGAGGGAGAGTGGGAGCTCCAGGCGGCCAATGCCCCCACCCCAGGCTGGTAGGGTGGACCTTCGTGGCCCAGGCCCAGGGCTCCGCAAGGCCCCCAGGGAGAGGAAGCAAAGACCCCCGCCCCCGTGGGGCGCGCTGCGCTCCAGTGCGCTACGGCTACTGGGGCCCTAGAGGGGAGGTGACCCAGGAAAAGTTCACGGGGCCCAGGGCAGAGCAAGGCGACATCTGCATTTCTCAGCCCCCAGGACTCCCCATCCGTTTGTCTCCTTCTCGCCTCTGGAATACAGTGAAAACATCGTACTGGCTGGATCAACATCAGAGATGCAATGTCAAGCTACCAGATTGCTGCAAAGTACAAATGAACTGCCACGGTGATTCAAAGAGAAAGACCACATTAAACATTGGAATATTTCAAATGTTTTCAGCATGAATCCCAGCATCCAGACCAATTCTAAGACAGTGGCAGTGTGTTCAGAGATGGCCCCCAAACCACCCTCCCACCCAGACTGGGCGGGGCCTCAGTAACCAGCAGAACTCAGCAGGGGTGGCATGGGCCAGTCCCGGCCTGGGCCCCACGAGGGCCTGGGAGCCTCAGCTTCTGCTCTTCTGTGAGCCAAGCCATGTCCTGGGCCGCAGCATGCGGAGGCGCAGAGGCCACGTGGAGAGGGAGGCGGTGTCTCTGCACCTGCGGCGAGGCCGCCCAGCACCACCTGCCTGCGACTCCGGGGGAGACCGCAAGCAGCGTCAGCCCCGCTGCCCAGCGGGGCCCCACCTCCCACAGGGCTATGTGAGACAATAAAACAGTTGTCGTTTGTAGGCCGCTAGGTTTGAGGGGGCTCCCAGTGTCGTAGCGGGCAACCGAACAGAGGCTCTGCTCTGGAGGGAGTGAAGGGCCTATCCCAGCTCATGCCTCCCTCTGCTCAGACCAGTGATTCGAGGTTTCCTGTGGGAAATGAAACGAGTTCCTGCCTGGAGGTTTGAAAAGACAAACTTTTCAAAGCCCCTGGAGTAAGAGAAAAGCAAATTAAAACTACAGAAGATGTCACTTTCCAGTATTTCAGAGGGAGGCACTTCACTCCTTGGTGGGGGTTGGGGGAGTTTCTTTTCAGGGCCATTTGGAACCACCTGCCAACTTTAAAAAACGCTCCTTTCCTCGCAGCCTCGTCTGTAGCAGCAAAGCCCGAGGCCTAACCGCCCGCCAGCAGGAGAAGGTTCGGCGGGCCCTGGCGCCCCCACAGCTGGGCTGCGCCCGCCAGGGAAGCGAGGGCGGCCGGCCGTGTGCCCTGAGACGGACCTGTCCCCTCTGGGACGGAGGGAGGACGCAGAGGCGGGCGTCGCAGCACCACCACTGCTGGGAGACACGCGGGGCCGTGACACGCCTGGGATGAGAACACGTTTGAAAGGACAAACAGAAACCGAGAGCGGCCCGGGTCCTGGGGAGACAGACTGCGCGCTGGAGGTGGGTGGAGCCCTTTCCCTCAAGCAGTCTTTCAAATGCCTTCTTTTAAAAAGGATCTGTGTGTATCCGCTATTCAAAACAGAAAATAACTCAAAGCTGTTCACACTCCCAAAGACTCAGGCTCAAGGCTGACCGGAGGATGGGGACGACAGAGACCCGGCCGCTCCCGGGCCGCCGCTGCGCCACCACCTGCCTCATGCTGCCTCATGCTCCTCTCTGTACTGCCCGGTGGGCTCGGTCACCACTGGGTCCCGCCGCAGCGAGAGCCAAAACCGTCCCGGGGGCGGGGCATGTGTGCTGGCTCCAGGAGCACAGGTTCACACTCACAAGTTTGTGACCGAAAAGGGATACATCCTCGGTCCGCGTCCGTAAATTAAGTGCTGGGGCGGGAGCCCCCGGCGGTGCAGTTCCACAGCACCACCACTAGGGGCAGCACGCGCAGCTTTTGACTGCTGGAGCCAGGCTGGCCGCCCCGACCCCGCGCAGTTTATTTCCAAGCTGTTTCTTGTTTCGGTTTGGTTTTGTTTACTGTCTCCAAAGCCACCTCTCACCTAAAAATAGAATTGCCCCGGACTACTGTTGCCCCCAGCTCAGGCTCGGCCGGCCAGCTGGGTAGCATTATATAACTTGTCACTTAGGGACAGAGCAAATAGACTTTGTGGGGCTGGGCAAAGAATGCAGGGAGCACGGCCTCAGATGCGGGTGACCAGGGCAGGGAGGCAGGACTGTGAGTCTGGGCCTCGCAGCCACGGCTGCTCAAGCTGAGTGTGGCTTCGGACAGTGTACTTAACTTCAGGCCTCCGTTTCTAACCTGTAAAGGGGGACATGATGTCTCTATCTCTCAGTGGATGCTTGGGGCCCGTGGGGGATGCACGTGAACGTGGACAAGAGTGGAATGTCCCGGCCAGTCTCCAAGCACCCCTTCGCTCAGCTAGCAGGGCATTTGTCCTGGGAGCAGGACTGGGGCGGGGGCAGCGGCTGTGCGGCTCCAGGTGTGTGAGGCGTTCTCCTCCCTCACAGGAGGCTCAGTGCGTGGCTCACAGGCATGTCCACATGGACGGCCCACCCCGCATCCTGCACTCGTCCCTCTTCCCCCAGGTTCTGCACAGGTGGGGATATTTGGCTGAATGTTTGCCCTTGGGAAGGGGGCTTTCCCAGGGAGCATCCTTCCCAGTCTCCTCCGTGTGTGTGCGCGCGCGTGCGCGTGTAAGAGAGAGAGAGAGAGAGAGAGAGAGAGAGAGACCTGCCCGGGAAGGGGGAGGGGAGAGACTGTTTCCAGAATGCCACATCCCCCACTCCACCCACTACCCAGCTGAGGCCTGGGGCCCCCAAGCTCCCATTCTTTCTGGTTCCAGCCCTCCTGAGAGTGAAGCCCCTGAAAATGCACTCACAGCCACAGCCAGAGGGCGAGAGGGGAGCCGGGGCCCCCATAGACCGACGTGCCCATGGCCTTTCCAGGGCTCAAGACTCTCTGGTTCACAAAGGAAGTGCTGGCCGCGTGCAGCCCCAGCTCCTGCCCTGGCCCCCCTCTCCCCGCAGCCTGTTTCCCCCAGGGTCGCCTCCTTTTCTGCACCCCGTCGTTCCTTCTCCCCTCGCTGGCTTCTGCCCCTACAGCTTCATCAGGCAGATTTCACTGTTCAGCCCCAGAAGGCAGAGGGGCGTGGGCTGCCTCCACCGGGACACCACACGCTGAAGTCGCAGGGAGTGGCACAGTGAAGGGAGGCAAGAGGGACAGCAGCCCACACCCTGAGACAAACAAAAAGCCAGCAGCAGGGATGTCACATTCGGCTCCCGTTCCCAAGTGAAAGGACACCTTGAGCAATCGCTAGGACAAAAGCAACGTTGTCCCTGACCCTGCAATGGGACCCCTGATGCTACCCCAGCAGAAAACGGCCATTTCCCTCCCTGCACAATGGCCTGCAAACCAG